CTAAACAAGAAGGGTGAGAGGGCTGGACAAGGGCAGGTGGAGGTGGGACCAGAGCTCCTTACAGCAGCTCCCACACAGGTTATGAAAATAAGGCTTGCCAGGAAGATGAGGATGAGACCTATCTTAGAGCTGTACTGCTTTAGGGAGCCAAGAGGCAGACGTTACTGCAGGGTGACTCACCACAGCCAGGAGCGTTGCGTGGAATTTGCCATGGAATGACAGGACTTGACGTGGCTGCTGCAATGCCGGGACCAAGGTACCCTCACGCTGCTTGAAGGCTGCCATGAGCTGGGTGCTGGAGGAGGAGGCACCCATCATGGGTCCTCTTGCTGCCCCTGGTCACACTGTGCCCTGGGGGTGGGCTGGCACATCTTTGCCTTTAAAAGGACCACCTCACTGCCATCCCATTGGCAGAGGTGGAAACGTCAGCTGCAGAGGGGACAGAAACAGCAACAGTGCAGCAATCAGGTGCCCATACCCAAAGCTGAGCTAATTTTTCCACAAATTAGTGCTTTTCCCAGTTTTAGATGCTGATGCAGTTTGCATCTTACTGCCAGAATATTAAATAGCAAAACTGCTTCCACCCCAGCCAGGTGACAGCAGGGGACAGGCTGCTGTGCCAGCCCCTGGGGAGAACACTGCCCACCAGGCACTCTTTCCAGGCCCTCCTGTAGCCTCTGACACCCCAAAGCATCATTGTGCAGTGTGAGCTGGGTGTGGGTAACAGCCCCAAATGACCCAGTGTTGTTGCAAAAGAGGCTAAATCAGACATGGCCACTGCAGGGAGAACCAGTGGGGCTGCTGGGGGTGAACTGGGCTGGGAGCAGCCTGCTGTGTTGGCAGAGCCTGGCTGCAATGAAACCTTTGCAGCAGCGGGTTCCCCGCCGTGGAACATCATTGGCAAAATACCTTCTAATTGCCAGGCTTGCAGGGGCGGGTGCCATCATGAGATACATTTCAGCTCTCAGTGGAGACACTGACACGCATCGCAGGCATCTAATGGCACTTGTATTAGTGACGTAGCCCTTCATGCATGAAATACATTTGCTATTTTCACCACAGCCCGAATACTAATAACCCCTGGGACCAGGTGACGGGTGAACTGTGGGCTCAAGACTTACTGGTGAATTGAAGCAACAGAAGCTGCCCACGATGGAGCTCCACTTCTCACTTCAAGAGGGGGAATTCGTGGAGAAGTGGCATGGGGACAGTGGTGGGGAATCACCTCGCTGACATCCCTGTGTGTCCTTTCAGACGAGCGCCGTGCTGTGTGCAGGCGGCTGTGCCCTGCTGGCCCTCAGCTCGCTGCTGGCCATCGTCGCCGTCCTGCTGCCCAGCGGAGCCTGCGAGAGAAGAGTCTGCACCCTGGCTGGCTACATGCAGACAGCGGCAGGCAAGTGATGGGGACTTTGCTCTTTGGGGTGGAAAGATGGGGGTTTCCCCAGGGTGCTGCCCAGCCATCCACAGCATCCTGGATCTCAGCAGCAAGAGGAGCTTGCAAACCCTAACCAATGCTGGGAGAAAAGCGAGTGGCCCTTCACTTTAGCAATTGCTTCCTGCATCCATCCTTATAAAATCTATTGAAAATCCCCTCTGCCCAAATACACAGGTCTGTGGCAGAGAGCCTGGGCTGCAGGTCCTGCTCACAGCCCCCTGCTTAGGCTCTTGTGTGGGGCAGGGGGCTGTGGCAAGTGGTGGAGACCAGGCTGGCAGGATGCTGCTGCACTTCCTGGGGTCTATCTAGTAGATGCCTCCTGTGAAGTTTGCAGTCTCATTTGGGCCATCTTTGTGGTTAAGCCTCTGGAAAAATTTCCCTCTCTGAGCTTTACACCCAAGACAGGCTGTTGCCCACCCTGTCCCACATCTCCCCTGACCTCCCTGGGCAGCCCTCTTGTTGCTGCATTTACTTATATTTCCATTGCAATTGCTTATACGTCTGCCTTGGAGAAGTGCTAATGCAGTGGGATGAAGGCAGGCAGCTGGACAAGGTCTGTCCTCATACTGCCCTCCCTGTGGAGGGACAGGCCCTACCCAAGACCAGCCTCCACTACAGTGAGCTGTGTCTCCAGGAGCTGAAGTGTTGGACCAAACAACCCCAACTGGACACAAGCCATGACAGGAGATTAAGCTGCCTGGTTTGTGTCTGTGCTTGAGAATAAACTCCTTTCCTTGGAGAAATCCTCAGGGCCAGCCAGGCTTTGTTATCTGCCCAGCAGCATTCAAGCAGCTTTTGGGGGAAATCCTGTTACAAGCTCTCCTCACCAGGGCTCATCCTGCGGGAGCTGATTTGGGAACAGATGGAGGGGCCTGACCCTTTGGCCACAGCTGCTCCAGCTCAGCCAGGCTGTGGGTCTATAGAGGCAGCTGCTCGTGCCTGTGCCCCATGGCTAGTGACTGATGCAGCCCTTGGAGGCCACAATTTAGAGATTCCCATCACCCCTCTAAGTTGGCTGTGGCCAACAGGTCCCCTGGGTGCAGGACAGAAGCTGGAGGATGCCAGCGTAGGCATCGTGTGGGTCACTGGGAGGTAGCTCAGGGTGGCCTTGAGGGGGGTCTGCTGTGCAGGAGAAAAGTGGGATGGAAAGGGGTAACCCAGCGTTACCTTTGCTCAAGAGGGTGGCACATCCTCACTGTGTCTGGCTCTGCAACGAGAGACAAGCGGGTGCAAAGCAAGGGATTAGGAAGAGTCCCTGGAAAGGAAACAGCCTGTGGCAGATAAATACAGATGAGGCGCTCTGAGGGGTGTTGGTAATATTGAACAGGCTGTAAATAAACTGTAAGTTCTAAGCGTTATTGACAAATGAAAATTTACTGGGTACGTTGGAGCAAGTTAATGGGTGGCTTTAAACCCTGGCAGTGCCTTGCTAAGCAGTTTGTATCGCGCTTTTTAATTCTGGTTCGCTGTGAATTAATTCCCATTCAGAGCGAGGCAGTCCTGAGTCAACAGAATTAAATGGTTTAATGTATTTGGATTCAGAAATGCTGCCCCCCTCATAATTTTTCTCCCTGTTTCCACCCCCATCAGAAGGAAACTCTTCATTAGAAATCAGCTGCAGCCCAGCAAGGAGCTGGGTGACAGCAAAACTCCTCCCCAAAAATCACATTATCTCATAGAGAAAGGCAAGGATTTTAGGGTAAATGAATTTACATGGAAGAGAAGGAAAACTAAGCAAGCTCATGAGGTTTGGTAGAGCAACTTTCTGATGTAGGGGGCAGCTCTGCTAGGGGAACTGCTATAACACCACCAAGAAATACTGTCAGAGCAGTGAGAGGGAGGACAGGGCCACGATTCTCCCCAGTCCCAGGTTTCCCTGAAACGCAGCAGGTCCCACAGGCACCTTTCCTCGGCCTGCCTTGACATTTTCCCCCTGAAATCTAAATTTTGCTCCCATTTTCCCATCCCACAAAAACAACTGGAGGTATTTTGCAGAGCACCAAAGACATGAGGAAATAAGATCAATACTATAAAACATTGAATCAGGCCATCTAGTTTCCAATAAAGGGCCAGGTGCATTCAGCCAGGAGCTTGAAGCATCCCATAAAGTGCATGAGCAGAGGCACCAGCAGAGCCAGAATCAGTCCCCACAGACTCTGCACTGTATCAGACAGATGCCCGGAGCCACACTCACATAAATCCAAATGCAGGGGCCAAGCTGAACCAAACAAGACCCAATCCTGAGAGCAGCCCCACAGCAAGAAACATTCAGGCTCAAACCATGTAAATGTCCCTGCTATTTTTTTTTGAGAGATTCAAATTGTATCTTTTCCAGCCTCAGAAGGAAGGAAGAGAGAAACCTCCTGCAGATAGAGCAGAGCATTAATTGCAGACACAGACATGCCATCAGGGTTCAGAGCTGGGCTAATTGCCACCATAAGTTGAACACATGATTCCTGATGCCTGGCATCCACCCCTTAAAAAAAAAAACAACCAACCAAACAACAAACCATATCCACACAAATGACAAGAGGATGATCCCTAATGAAAGAGTAAATGAGCAGCAGAGCAATAGGGAGAGGGGGGAGGATAAAAACCAGAACATTTGCTCGACTCTTACCCCTTACAAGCAAAGTCAAAGCTGCTCCTGAGGGATTAGAGATGGGGCTCACTCCCTAAGCACGGTGCCAGCTCACTGAAACTAAATTTCTCCTGTAACACCTCCTCTCAAACCCACACAGCAGCACCTCCAGAGAGACTGGGGTAGCCAAGCTGGCCCCATTTATGTGTGGGGTGGCCCCATCCCCCAGCTGCAGCCCATTGCTGCTGATGGAGAGGGGCCCTGGGGCTAAGCCCAGGGACAGGGAGAGCAAATGGGTGCACAGCTGAAATCCTGCCACAGTAGTTTTGCAGCAAAAATCTCTTTGCTGGGATTTTAAAAATAGGAGTTAATTCTAGGGAGAAATGTCTCTTGTCATATGGGGCTGGGGACAGGGCAGGGGATGTTCTCCAAGGCTGGCTGTGTCTGTACAACCTCTTTGGTGGCTTCCAGGTGCTGAGCCTGGGGTTTATCGCTGGACGTTACAGTTTATCTCTGCAAAGCTCTCAGACCAGTTTTTGAGCGACTGCCAGCGGTGAAGCTGCTGGAAATTTTTTAGAGTGTGGAGCCATCACAGTGTCTCAGGCACTGGCTTCACCCACCGGCACCCCTTGGTGATACCCCGGGCCCTGAGGCCCTCTCTGAGTTGTCACATGCAGCCCACACAGTCCCCAGCAGTGCCACCACATCAGGGGAGTGTCCTGAATGCTGGGGGTGCCAAGAGCCAAAGCAGCCTCCGAGGGGTTTCCAGCATGGACCAGGTCTGCTCCCCAGCGCAGGATCATCTGCACTCCCATGGGAATGGCCTTTCCAGAGGAGTGAAACTTGCTACCAGTGGGACCCAAGATTTGAGCTGAGACTGAGTAAAACCCATCAAATGGCAAATCCAGGCAGCTTTCTGCTTTTGGGGCTTGTGGGACTAAGGGAAGGATTACGGGTTTGCTGTTGGATTAAGCTGCTGGCAACTGCATTCTGGCACCAAAGCAGATTGTATCTGCTGCTTAGGAAAAGCAATGAGCCTTTGTAGGTGGGCAGCAGGACTAGCAGCCTCCCTCCACAGCTCCTTTTGCTACCCTAAAAGCCTCAATAAAAACCAGGGCTGTGCTGATGTTTAGAAGGTTTTCACCAAGAGCTTTTCAGGCAAAGAGCTCTTGCTTTGCTGGGGAGTGGTGGTGGATCCATTGGCAGTTAGTAACTGGATGCACCTCCAGCTGTCCCACCGCTGCTGATCCTTTCCCTGGTCTCTGAGATGTGCCTGTCAAGTGGCCTGACAGGAGGAGGCTGCAGAGCTTTGCACCTTGGTGAGGGCACAGGCAGAGTCGATTATGAGGGAAGCCTTTGGGGAGAGTTTTGCTTACACCCCAAACTGCTCTCTGTCTAATCCTACCACCATCAATTTGCTGCTCAAGACAAACCCAGTGCTGAGGGCAAATGATCCTGACCTGCCTGTGCCTTTCTAAGGCTTTTTTGGTTTCAAAAAGCAATTTTCCAGTATCACTATGACAGAATCAGAACAGTCATAAGGCTCCAGCAAGACAGGCAGAAACCCCGTTACGCCATTCCCTTACTTAGCCACACTTTAATCCCAAATTTCATGGTAGTCCTAAAAGCTTCTTCCTGCCAAATTTGATTGCATTCTGCAGCCAAGTCCCTCTTGCTGGCAGAAGCTGCATGGTGGCATTACAGAGGTGGCCTCAGCTTTGGGTTAGTTAAGCAGCAAAGCAAAATGCTGGAGACCTTGTGCTTTTTGAAGTAGCCTGTGGTTACTTAAGACACTGATCATCAGGGAAGAACACATAAAGGGGGAGAATTGTTCATCTGTAGATCAGAATGAATCTTTTAAATGCATCATGTCCCAAGGACTGAAAAGCAACTTATATTAAAATGGGCTGTGCCATCCCCCTGGGAGTGCTGCGGGATGGGTGGGAGGTTTGCCCTGGCCTCGGGGTGCTGATACGTGCTGAGGGGCAGCACACAGATGGCAGGTTCCTGGCTAGGAGGACGTCCCAGTGCCTGTGTCACAGCATTATTTAGGGAGGCAGTGTGTGCTCACTGCCCCTGTCATGCCTCTCAATCCCACCCTGCATCTCAGCTCACCTTTGGGATCGATTGCGCCCTGTTTTTCGCAGCTTGTGCAGGCTCTGAATGGCAAACAGCACCGTCATCCACATCCATATTGATTCCTCAGACTAATATTGATCAGCCTGGTGACATACAGGTAATGTGTAATTAGTAACTTAGATAAAAATAGCACCAAAAGGATGCACAGCCAAGCTGCCTGGGTACTCCGACCTTCGCTAGCATCTCCATAGTGGCAGCAAATAGAGGGGTCGTAGCTGCCTGGTAATTGCTGACCTGT